TTCCACATATTTACGTTTGTCGGTTCTGATGCTCCTCTTCACTTGTTTGTTTACTTCTGTGTATTCAGCTTGTGCCTTGGCTTTTTCTGCTCTTGTTCGACTGGTATTGATTGCTGCCTTCTTGTTCCTTCTTTCTTGAATCTTATCCAGTGTATCAACAGTGATCCATTCCTTGTGATGGTGCTTCTTGTGACCCAGGACCTCATGACATGTTGAAGTGATTGCCTCTTTGATCCCCTTCCAGTTGCTCTCCACAGTAGTTCCTTCTCCATTGAGTAGATCATGAAAGGCCTGGAACTTGTTGCTGAGGACTATCTTGAATTTGTTGAGTTTGTTAGTATCCTGAAGAAAGGCCGTATTGAACTTTTGTGATATTGTCCGCCCCGTTGTCCAGTGCTTCTTGAGTTTCAATTTCATCTTGGCGACCAGCAAGTGATGATCTGATGCTATATCAGCTCCTCTCTTGGTTCTCACGTCCTCTATAGTCCTCCTGAACGTTTTGTTGATGCAAATATGGTCGATTTGGTTTTGTGTAGTGTGATCCGGTGAAGTCCATGTGGTTTTGTGGAAATATGGTGCCGCCTATGACCAGCTTATTGAAGGCACATAGATTTGCAAATCTCTCACCATTTTCGTTTCTTTCTCCCAGTCCGTGTCGTCCCATGATGTCTTCATATCCAGTGTTGTCCGTTCCAACCTTGGCGTTGAAATCTCCCATCAGAATAGTCAGGTCCTTTGTTGGGCACTTCTCGACGATTGACTGCAGCCTATTGTAGAATTGATCTTTAGCGTCTTCATTGTAGTCGTTGGTAGGCGCATAGCATTGGATGATGTTCATTGAAATACCCTCTTTCTTTGTTTTGAACGAGGCTTTGATGATCCTTGGTCCATGAGATTCCCATCCTATAAGTGCATTTTGCGCTTGTTTGGACAGCATCAATGCAACTCCTTGTGTATGTGGTGCATTTTCTTCTTCATGGCCGGAGTATAACAGGAGCTCTCCTGTAGTTAGTCGTTGTTGTCCAACTTGTGTCCAATGTGTTTCACTGATCCCAAGTACCTCTAGGTTGTATCTTCTCATTTCTGCAGCAATTTGGAAGGCTCTCCCGGTGTCCCACATTGTACGAACATTCCATGTACCTAAATAAATGGTCGCTCTGGTTGTCAGAAGGGGCATCGGCCTCGTAACTTCCGAAGGAATTCGGCTTTCATCATGAGGCGTCATAATTCTTCTAAATGAAGACCTTCTGACTCCCAGGGCAGAGTTTAAAAGGTTTGAATAATTTTTTCTGGTTAGCGTTTTTTTAGCGAGTTAGTTTTCTACGGGATGGGGACGCTAACCCCATGCCCAACCCTCCTCCTTTATCCGGGCTTGGGACCGGCAGTAGCCCCCGGAGGGACTCCAGGCGGAGTTGACCACATTTTGCGTTCATCCATAAATTAGCATTCTATCCATTTATTTTAACAACCAAATATTTTGTCAAGTCAAACCACAGAGAACCTCCTCAGTAACGTAAACCTCATTCATTTGCCAAGATTTCTGGATAATAAAGTACGGCTAATATAAATGATTTTTTAGTGAAGGGAACATTTTTCTCTTAATTTTCTTTATTTTTATTCAATAAACATCACTGGTTATTTTGATTTATGAAGTCTTATTTGCTAAGAAATAATATAGATCATAGTGCTTATTCATAACTCATGAAATAAACTTGTATTCATAGACTATCAGATCTCAATAGAAAAAATTTTGGATTGAGGTTTATTAAATTCAATCTTTTAAGACATAATCTCTCAGTTTTCAAATGAAGATCTTAGGATCCTTATTATTATTGATCGTGAAAACGCAGTGATACGAAACCTTCAAACTGTTGAACAATTTTAAATAATAGCATGCATATATACTTCAAAAATATTATTAATAACTTTCCAATTATAATCTATTTTCATCACAATAATCTGATTTTATGGTGTTCCATAAATGATAAGTATACAGGGAAATCTCCCATCCTGAGGTTTTTGAAATCATGAATTAACCTAATTCAAACATCTACCGAAAGTCAGTAAGCACATGAAACCTATTTCGTCCTAGTATGGAAATTCTCGATGTTGGACATTCACAACCCCACCAGTGACTCAACTTAGCATTTTTGATCTTACTAAGCATGCATTTGTGTACATGTCTAACTTCGATCAATTCGCGATATTGCCCAATCATCTATTGTTTTCAGAGGGTAAATGCTTTACTTTCGATATGTTTAAATTTCACAAGGACGGAATAAATATTTAGTGTTTCCTCGTTTTCAGTGAATTTATAAGTTAAAGAACTTCATAGATTATTAGTTTTTATATTAAAGCAAACTGTCCATATTTTCATAATACAGTGTACTGAATACACCATGCTTTCTGTATTGTGAAATATTAATAAACAGTGACAGGTAATACCGATTCATTGAACTTGTAAGACACATAAAAAACTGTGGGTTCACAGCATCATTCGCATCACAAATATCTGAAACTTATGAATCTTTGGGTAGCTTCGTAATTTTGAAATATCTCTCCGTGTTCATGTAAACTATACTTGGTTTCACTCAATCAATCAATAAGTTTGTTATATGTTGTTTTCATTCAGTTTCACCCAAATCCTTACTTGAAAGACACTAAAAGTAATCAGTTTCTATTGAAACTTATCCAACTATGATTTCATTATCAGTAAAAACTGTAATATACCAACTGGCTAATACTAAACACCTAGTGAAAAGAAATACTACTGTTTAGCAATGGTTATTTGACAAGTATCATTAGTAAAAGTCTGTTTATAGGACTGAACTAGGTTACTCTCATTCTGTCAGATAGTTTCGCATTAACAAATTACACATTAGTAAAAGAAATTCAGTGAGAAAGTAAGTTACTATGTTACTGCATAAACGGAGTACACTTTTTTCAATCAACTATTTGCAATTCAAGAATCTTCAACTTTCTCTTATCTAAACTTTAAAAGCAAATCTTGTATAAAAGAAAACAACATTATTTTGACATTTATAAAGCTTTAGGGTCAACACATTTAGTTTAAATGTAATAAACTGATATAGTTTGAGAAAATTGAATGAAACTGCAATGACTGATTCGAGATATTACTTTAATGTTTAAATACTATTTTTAGTTCAATAATTTAAAAAATGTACAAATGTTTATTAAATCAAATAGCACAAGTGTTATTTAATATAATTCATCTTTATATCAACCAAAATTAAAACATGCAATATGAATAGTTTGATGTGTAATTCAGTAAACTTAAATTTCATTGTCAACTACATTTTCATAAGGAAGAACACATGAAACTAGTCATTTACAGTGGGTTCTTATGCATTGAAGAAGTTCGAAGTATTTCGTTATTAAAATTATATAAAAAGCAAATTGAAATTTGAAATATTAGAAACTATTTAACGTAGTATTAAAAAATTGAAAATTACTTGATTGAACAACAAATGTTTCATACGTAGATTATAAGGTTAGTAACATCCTTGATAAGGAAAGGACAAATCAAATTTATAATTTCAGGCTAAAGATTATACTGACCTGATTAAGAAGATCAATCTCATCAAAAACAATCTTCATTAATGTTAGGAATCAATTGAGAGTAAAATTATGGATTAAAACATTTTGATAATGTTATAGTGTAACAGTTAATGATATACTAGCGATTTATTTCACATATTCATCTTTTGTGATATTCATTTAACATGATATTTGCCTACGATATGGTTGTTTAAACTTGATGATCAACCATTTCAAAGAAAATCTTTATATAAAAGAGCCCGGTTGCCTCTTAAAATGTACATACTTTGCAGTCATTTTTCGTCTTTCGATATTGTATAACTCAATGAAACACGGCTCTCGAGGGTTAATCTCGATTCATTAAATTGTCAGTGCTAACTCGTCATTCGTTATAATATAAAATCAACTGCATATAAGCTATTCAAAACTCGTTTATAATATATATATATATATATATATATATATATATATATTTATATATATGAAGAAATTTGATGACTATACAAAGGAAAGCGTTTGAATTAAAATATAAAATTTAAGAAAACAGATAAGTTAAAAATAAAAAGTCAGTCAGCTACAAAGTAGGATCAGCCACATATATGCATCGGTGCAAGTTGCTATACCTCATAAGCACAACAAGATGAACACCAAATTCACAGTAGTTACTTCAATGTTGGTAATATACAAAAAAAGACTTTGTATAAAAATATAGTACAGGAAGAAAGAATTGGCTCTTAGAAAGAAAGATATGAAGTGATTTTAATCTCTTAGTATAAGGGAAGACAGAGAGTGTATACACCTACGCCATTGTGATCGATTCTGAGCCATATCACCAAAAGTCCTCAACTATTGGTTACGATAGTCACGCGGACCCCAACCAAGTAGTCTGCATCTATCAACATGACTCAAGCTAGGAGTTAGTGACTTCAAGCACTGATGCCACGTTTTAGTTTGGCAGCTCCTAACTTTCTTCCAACCACCCCCAACACTGATTAGCATTGCGCGTCGTGGTAATCGGTGTTCAGACATACGTAACACGTGGCCCAACCATCTCTGTCGATGAAGATTCATAACCTCATCAACTGATTTACCATCATTTCCTAATACCCTGCGTCTAACCTCACTATTACTTACCCGGTGATCCCAGCAGACGCCAGTAATATTTCTAAGGCATCTGTGGTTAAATACTAATAGCTTACGAGTGTCTTCTACTCTTAATGCCCACGTTTCGCAGCCGTAAAGTAAAACAGAATAGACTGCCGCGCAGTATACTCATCCTTTTATTGATAGACAGATATCTCGCTTTCGTCATAGGTGACGTAAGTTGGTAAAAGCCAAACGAGCTTTTCGAATCCATGTAGGGATTTCGTCAGACACCAGCCCATTAGGGTTGATCAGACTTCCAAGATAAGTGAAGTTGTCGACGCGTTCGACTACATTTATACAAAATGACCTATAAAATACAGGTGATTCAAAATATTCGAACGAAAAATAAATTTTCCAATTATATCGCTATGCATCAGCAGTACGTTTTAAATGTTATTGAAGTTCATTATTTGATACAGAAAAGTTAGCTCACACATATGTTTTAAGATTTACAATTGGACAAACGTTCTTCTAAAAACGAAGGGAATAATAACGATAAAATTTCATAAAACATTTATTCGTATTAAAGTAATCTTAATAGTATAAGGATCTTTAAAAGACATATAAAAGCATAAAGACAAGTTATAAGTTCACTGGAGAACGTCATGTGTACTTTTATCACAAAGATATATATCCTATATATTCTTACTACTAAGGTCGTAATTTACGTGATGAAGCTAATTTTATTACTTCATAAGGTTTATACAAATAATTCATACATAATCATAGAACAGTATACATAATGTTCAAAAGATAAAATCTCACACAAGTTGTTTATGTACGCAAACATAAAAAAATATGAAGAAATGTTATAAAAGTCCATCTAATTTAAGATTACGCCTTATGATAACATCTGTTACAGCATCGAATACAAACTGTATATTTGTAGTATCTGTCGCACATGTAAAATGTGTATAGATTTCTTTTGTTGTCTGTCTATTAAGTGCTTCAAATTTTGTCTGTATATATAATCCAGCTTCTTGATAATTATTTTCACCTACAATAAATAATATATTCAATGATAGAAATGATAGTTTTCAATGTAAACAATCAATAACTTTAAAAGTCGTTTGTAAAATGTTTGTTACAAATAAAAAGTAAAAATTCCAAAAGAAGAACAATAAAATGATCATGATAATGTAGAAAGTTTGACTTTATATCTGTTCGTTTAACACTGTGATACAGTTTTGATAGTTTACATATTTCAAATTAAAATAATCTTAATATTATGAGGTGCAAATAACAATGCAAATCTCTATGCTTGTTCATCCGGTTACGCATTTGGAGAAGAAGATAACTACGTAAAACGTTGATAAAATTTGAGTGCTAATATTTACAGCTCATTCATACACACAGATCTCCAAAGTTTGTGGAAAATATGTGTGCATGTTTAATTAGATGAATAATTCATTATCTCATAACAACTCGCCCACTATAGACTCTCTTCAATTGAAGGTACATAAAACCTGTGATTTTCCGAATGTCAGGAATATCATTCGGCATGTAAACATAATTTTGAATGTGCACCTCATTATTGGTTTCTTTAATAAACATGAAATTATGAAATAATCGGTTACTAAATTTAAATTTGTAATAGAGCGAGAATAGTATTACATGATTATAGAAAAATTTATCGTTTGATTTCAACCCATTGTTGTAGCGAAAAAATTCTAAATAATATAGGTTTGTTACCTTTATACCGTCATAACAACATGTAGTCTTGATTAACTGTTTACTGTTTACGTTCTACAAATTCAGCTTACAAAGATTTCTTAGACTAACTGGTAATTTTGAGTCATTGTTCTACTGATATATACATTCTTACAAATAATTTCATACAACTATTATGAAAATAAGCAATTATTTAACATTGAACCGGAACTACTGTATTTGTATTTGTATTAAAATTATATACTTTGATCGACTATACAACATATGAAAATGCAGATGAACTTTGTTACTATATTGAAAAATAATGATAATATATTTAATAATCTATGTGTATTAGTTTTGTTCATCACTATTGTTTAAAAAGATTGAAGTACATAGGAAATTAATTTGTGCAAAACCTATACCAAATTCTTATATAATTTTGCATTTTTCTGCTTTTGTCTAAAAGAATACGACTATACTTTAATTCGTCTTCATCGTCGGTTTTTTATTCATTATTCTTTATTTCTGCTAGTTGATATAGGTAAAAGAATACAGATAAGTTTGCTTAAATGCTTATTACTGTATTCTACTTTACTGAAAAGTTTTTTAATCCTGAATCATTCAGATAATACATGAGAATTTCAATAAAATCAATTTTATCCGTTTTCTTCTTCATGGGTTAGAGATGTTCTGTCCTATTTTAAAACAACAGGTTTATTCGTTCAGAAAAGACATTATTTTAATTACCTAAAAATATATATCCACCACACTGAAATATTGATGTGAAACTGTGAAACGAGTACTAATGGTGGATGACCGTTTGATAATCTAATTTTTAGTCACTTTCGAATTACTAAGTTGAGCTATTTTCTGAAATTATACACTAAAATTCAGTCGTTTAGGCTACTCTCAGAAACTGAACGGTGTTTGTGTCACGTGCATTTTTCGTCTTTTATTCAAGGATAAAAGCTTAAACTAATGTCAAGCTACATGTTTAGAATGTATAAGAAATCGCCATCAGATATTCCTCTCAGAGGAATTCTACCGTATTACAGACCTATGATAAAATTTGATTGTACTAGCATAGTTTGCAATTGAGTACTTAAACACTGAAAATCGTCTCTACAGTCAAAAGATTCACATGAATTTTTGTGTGCTATTATACGTGAATTTGAAACAGTATATTTGAATGATGGAACAACTGTAAGAGCGATGCAGATGTTGTACACAACACTAAGTAAATCTTGTAAACCCATTCTTTAGACTGTAAATTATTCGTCGATTAAAGTGATTAGGTTGAAGACTGCATACGGTAATCCACAGCCTATTTCAATGCATACTGTCAGTGATCATAAGCGTATACAGGCTAAGGATGACCAGACATACATTCTTTACTATAGCTATATACCTGGCTTTTTGTACCAACAATATCATCATACTCGTCAACTGTTGAATATAAATTAATTACACTAGCTTTAATTAGCATTTAAACAAACAAATGAACTAGATTTCAATTGTTATCAATAAAGTTAGCTCTAATGAAAATCATAACCTATTTTCTTAGGAAAACTTTAAAATTTTAAGTTGTTCATTTGTAACCAGTATAGGAATAATGAATAGGTTTTGTCCTAAGATGAGTGAGTAAACTAAACTTTAGTCAATAAGACTTGAAACGATTAGTTCATCTTAAACAGATGTTGATTAAATGTTTACTCATGGTTTCAATCCGACCACGGATAGATATTTATTTAGCTGAAAAAGTAAAACTGAGTAAAGTTCATTTCTCGTCACTTTAGATAGTTATTCAGTAAGAAATACATTTACAGCCTTTAGAAACTTACATATATAAACAGGCTATGACATATGTATTTTAAAACATCTACTGCACAATCGAACATCATTCTCATCAGATCTGTAAGTTATCTGTTGTACGGGTTCCTATCTGATGTTCATTATAACAACTCATATTAGTGAGTAAATCATCGTAAATAATCGTCTTTACACCTGAACAAGCATATGATGTTCCATTAATTTTTATTATCCCTCTGCAAGCCTAATGGTTTGAACTTGCATCACTTGCGAGTAAAATGTTATCATCTTAATGAAGCTACCATTGAGTAATACATAATGCATGATTGTTCACTTAAAATTGTAACATGAATTCATAATTGGTTACCAACAATAGTTATCTACAGTAGTTCTTGAAGCATACAATGATTATTAATATGAGACTTTTCCGTTGAACTAGAAAAACAATATTGCTGTACGCTAGGTCTAATAAGGATACAGGAATGCTGTGAATATAAATAATGTAGGCTTATTGATAATGATTATTCACTATTTCGCGAAGGGTTGTATTATTTTATGAAAAATAAATCACAACACTATCAGTCAATAAACCTTAAATTTAAATTTAAATAGTTACATATTCAGCAACATACAGATGCTTTATATAAAACATTCAAATTAACATCGCAAATTCATCAGACAGAAAGAAATTTGACTATCTTTCCTCATTTTCGGAGACCTTTATTCAGTAAGTTTGAAAGCTACTTTACAGTATCTCCAAAACAACGATAAACCAAATTTTTAAAAGGGTTTTGGTTTTGGAACTATATTTCACATAAAAGGAACAGCTATTTATTTTAAAAATGACAAGGTTACCGTAATTCATTTTACAGGATTGTGATTTATAAATTTTATACTCCCTACTGAAATAAATGCAAATACAGCACTTTTATTTAAATTCATCTATTTATAAAAGATCCCAAGCAATTTAACTATTTATAATCTATAATGACATAAATATGATGAATTTTTGTAGTTTTAAACATCACAATCTATTTGAGTTATTTTCCTGGATTAACAATCAAACATGACACTATTCGATTTTATGTCACAAACATTGGTTGTTATATGGACGATGAGAGAGATGTTGATTTTAAAGATACAAATATATAAATTGGTTTTAGTAAACATTGATACATCTATAAAAAAATACAGTGAGATTATGCAGTCCACTGATATTTTGTCTGATAGATCAAACATTATATTTAAACAATTAGAAATAATTCTTAGTAATCTTTTCACATATGTTCTAAAATGTTAACTGAAATGATCAACAAACCCTTAATTTCTGATGGGTTACGGGGTTGGAATAGGCATCAGTGTGCATCTAAATTGATCTAGAAGAAAAAATTCAATGATCAATATTGGTTTAGTATATTCATGGCGTTATCAGTTTTTGGCAAACTGCTTCCAAAATGTAATATGAAATCAAGCAATTACATAGAACTTAGTTTAGTTCCTCAAAACGTCTGTATTGATGTTTGGTGTTTTCAGTCAACTAACTTTTCAAAGAGTATTGGTCGATCACCATGAGATATCAAACAGTTATCTTTTCCTGTTTTGGAACTAGCTAGTAGTCTGCCTACGATTTACTTTTTCAGAGACATAACAGAGGATTCACAGATATAAGCTAGTCATTTTTAACCATCCCACTATATCTTTACAGAAACTATTAGGGTATAAGGGTTTCCGGCAGATCTGTGGTGTATTTTATCTACAGATGACTGAAGATTATCTTAATACGGTTCAAAGAATAAGAACTTGAATAGAGTGGAGGTCTGTAACACGACAACAATTTGATGTTAATAATCCACACGTTACTAGAGATAGAGAAAACTGAACTTTGATGATAGTTTTATATTCCGTAGAGGCACATAATAGAGTTAGTACTTTGATAGCGATGACAATAAATCAGGTGACAATAAATATCATTGCGGACTTATGAATTAGAAAAATGTTATCGACGTAATCCTTTAAAAAAAGAGTTAACATGCAATAACGAAAACTTAGGCAAGCTTATCTCTTCTTATAGCATTCATTAACTGATATTATGTGACAGTGAAAGATCGCTTCCAATCAAATCTGGTGCTTTCAAAGGAAGCGTCATGAACACTTGTCTAAATACTTATTAAAAATTTGTTAAGTCAGTTATTGTACGAAAGAAGTAGTGAATGGAATTTTAAGGTGAAGTAAACAGGTTATTCCAGTGAATAAAAACATATACTTGTTAGTAATATTTGGTAAAGTGCAGCTTACGACCCTGTTAGCTTACTAAATGATGACTATAAAATAATAAATATCCAGCTTACAGTTTCTGTGTAGTTCAGAATTTTCAACGACATTAAGAGTTCAACCTTCATAAGAATAGTCGAAGTCAAAAATTGCAAATCCCCCAATAATTCTTTAGTTAATGTCAGCTATATACAAAAGAATCGACCCATACGAAACAACTTTACAACTGAAACAAACGTATACTTTCTATTTCCTTTGTTTTAGAAATAAATAACATGGATGACAAAGCTACTAAAGGATAAGCAATTGACACACAACGTTTTGAGAAATGAACGATAGATATTAGCACCCATGACACATTTGGTTTCTACTTAAATTACCAGCTTGCATTTTTTAATCAACTGTGACGACTTTTGAAAACAAACGTCTAAATATTAGACTATTTCTGATGTGCAAGATGCAAAACCTAAGTATATAAACCTACTAAGATACGCCGAATGTTATTCATAAAAGCAGTTGAAATGTTTTATTTCACAATAAATAAATATTTTTGTGTTCTATGAAAAGCAAAACACCGTATTTTGGTAAGCTACTTGTTTTAACTATTACGTTTAGTCTCGATATACTTCCGGTATAAAATTATTGGTTTTGCAAAATAAACGAAAGTCGATAAACTCAGGTTTGTCAATAATTTGATACTGTATATCACTAATATTCAGCTTGGTTTCACATACTAATTTCGATTATTAATAGTCAGCATTTCTACATTTATTACTAGGATCCTTAATCAACCGAAAAGCACTGAACACCTACTTTTCCCTATTAATTGACTGTTCAGAAGTCTGTATCCGCAATCCCATTGGGGAATAAACTCATGTTTGCGTTCTGGTAGTAAAGGCTTAATCTTCAAACCATTGGGCATATATAAAATGGTTTATATGCCTGATTTCAATTAATTCGCGACATTTTGCAACCAATATTCATTCTACATTTATTATTAGTCCATATGATCTTTTTTAGCTTTATGTTCTACAAGTAGTTGAATATATAACCTAATAGATTAGGTGAAGTTTATAGCTAAATAAAATAAAATGCATACCTATTCGATTATTTAACTTCGTTAACTTAAATTATTTTAACTTAAAATTAAATCGCTTTAGAGATTATACTTTCTCCAAGGAGTTCTGGATACATCATCATCAGATGTCATCAAACAAACAATTACTCACTCTCAAAAAGTACTTGTTTTATGTTTCTTTCTTTTATATTAAGTACTTTTACAAAACAATATTTTGGTATAAAAGACAAGACTATCATAAATCACATTAAAGCCATTACGCTTTGAATTATTGTGTTTGACGCCTGAAGGTAGTTTAATCAAAACTCGATCTATAAATAACTGGAATTAAGTAACATTACATCTTGGCAAATACTAATAAAGAACTGTATAACATAGAATTCTCAATTTTTCGTGAAACTAAAGTACAATAACCCAGTAAATATTAAGCTTCATATAGATGAATAAGGATTGAATTTTTCAATGACTATTAAATTAGCTACGACTACTCATTTCATATTAACAACTTGAAGGAATGAATAAGTGTAAATGTTTTATTGTCAGGAAACACTGATGTGCGACACAAAATCTCTCAATCTAAAACAAAAGTCGAATGATTTAAATACTTTTCATATTCTTATTTGTTTTTGTTTCAGTGAGATCTCAAATAATTACTATACCGTCATTTATGTTGTTTAATTTTTACAGTGATATAAAATGTGATCTCTTTTCCAACAAAATATAAGATAATGTTTAAATAAATTTATTTTATTAATTTATGTAGTCTGTATCTCTTAATTATTCGCACTGAAATATATTGGGCGTAAGTAATAATTCAGAATTGAAATGAAAAGATAATTACAATAACATACCTATATATTCTGGAAAACAAATTGTTAGTGGTGAATGGCAGATTTTTTGTTCAAACAAATCGCGCTTATTCAAAAATAACAACATACTGGTCTCTGTGAACCAACTATTATTACATATGGAATCAAATAAATTCATAGATTCAACCATTCGGTTCTAAAATAACAATAATTAAGGGTATAAAAATTTTCCTTAAAATTAAGAGGCATTACAAAGCGAAAATATACTGACTTCATGCATAGACCAATAACTAAAAACATGAAGTATTAAATAAATTTCTGCAAAAATGGTAATCAATAAAAAAATAACAGGTAATAAACACAAACACAGTTGAAAACCTAGTATACAAGGTGCGAAAACATATCTTCAAATTAACTTTTAGACGGATGTTCCTATTAGTTCATCAAAACATTAGATCTTAACAACCAATGAACTTATTAACGTGATAAATTCATACCTTAGCATTCAATTGCTACTGTAGACGTACAACTAACAGTAAAATAGTTCGAATTCACCTAGTTAATTAAAATTGATTTTCAAATAAACATTAAAGACTGAAATATGTTGAGAAATGATTCAGAAATGGTATCTTAAAAAGCCTTAACAGGGACAATTAATTTTAAAAAATTTCATTTCATATATTCTAATTTCTAAAAATATATTGACAGTTATGTAAGACACCTACCGGCTTATCTAATTTTAATGCACTGTTCTTCTGGTCGCTTGTTCAGTTTGTAAGTCATGAACAAACGTTGATGTATAAATTCATATGATCACTTAAATAGTTTAAAAAAGTATTTGACATTTATATGTAGATGATACTACAGAATCAATACCATTGTTTGTGAATCCATACCCAGACTGGGAAATGACATTTTGAATCTTATTTTAGGCCGATGAATTCTCAATCCTAAATACGTATTTATGGATAATCAAAATAATTTTCATTAATACTAACAAGTACTTTTGCTGATTATTTTTAATCTAGTAAAGACACTCATGCATCAATACTTAGCTTCTAACGTTTTACAGACGGTTTGTGCTCATGAGTGGACTACAAATGTCCCATTTCAACGAAACGTTATTGTTTCTTCATGTTTCTTCTCAAAACGAAGCAATTTTCACAGCTCAGTATTTTATCATTTACACATATTTTGAAGCGATGTTCTAATCCTAACCTACGAAATAGTAACTAGAAAAATATTCCATTAAGTATTCATATTCAGAGAAAAATTAATTAATCATTGCGAAACGGATAGTGGGTACTTCAATGATATCAAAATATCATATGGTTATTTCTAAAATCAGTAACACCATTAAAATAATTCATCAGAATGATATATATTGTGATTCATCCTGGGACTTCTGTCGTGTGCATTCATTTAGTTGGTATTGACTATTGAACAACTAATTGTGGCTACAAGAGTCATAATCTCATCAGGGGCTCACTTGTATAGCACTAAACTTATCCATTATCCGGATTACATTTAAAAAACACTCAGAGTAGACCAGATTCAGTTTAATTATAATGAAAGAATCTGTTCACTTACGTTTATCTACATATGTAATTACATAGTGGTTAGATTTGTGTTTACTATTATACCTATATAGTCTATAATGATCAGTTAGTTATCATCATAATTCTATAAGATTTCAATTGTGTTCCCCAATTTTCACTTCAATCACCTCGAATGGATTATTTATTATATGTGACTTTTTTAACAAACATCAATAGCAAAAGAGCAATTACGTAAGTACTTAATAAACCAATTACTTCTTGCTAGGATCGATATAAGGTCACAATTAATAAATATTTGTGTCGTTGTCATACCATTAAAAATAACATATGAAGACGGATTTGCGTTGTCAATATTTTTTGAAATAATTATTTTCTGCTTGTCAAATTATTTTTATTGTTGGTGTTGCTAATAACATTTTATCGATTTTAATTTATTATACTTAATGTTATTATGGTGATGATGGCGAAGTTATAGGTAAAATATTCGTTTTTTTATTGAATTTTGTAGATGCATTTTGTTAAATATTCTGAGTTATATTAGGTTATAACTTCAGGGTTATGAACAATACTGAAATCGACTGCATAGCTAAGGTAAATCACATGAACCTTTTGACTGCATACAGAAATTAAAAATTATGTTTTCATATAAGCTTGAAATACAAATACTTTTTCATCAAATCAAATGAAAAGAAAATTTTTAATACATAAATAGGGACTCAAGTTATTCAAATGCTTCTCTTCAGTTATTCATAATATGAAAAGTAAATAAACTGACATTGCAATTTATCTGTTGGTAAATTTTTTCCATCATATATCATTAAAGAAATAGATTATGATGTTTTTTATATGAAGAAACAGTGTAATTGATAATGTAAGAAACAATGCCATAGTTTCTATTTATTGATTTCGAGTTTCTACATTAGAATGGAATATATCTTGATCATTAGCGTAGGAAACAATTTTGAGTTAAGAGAAACTATTACGAACTACACACATTGTAAAACGAAAACATTTATAAAATAAGAGGTACAAGAAGTGAGTTGACCAGAAGTAAGAAATCAGAGTAGGGGATATTTTGACGTCAAAAACCAACTTCTATGGCGTTCTCAATGTAAAAATCGACCACTCATGAATCACTTCTCGGATTATAGTCATTTGATGGTCAGTGATTCATGATAAAAAGATATTTTCAAAATTTTTCTCTAGAATATTCGGAAATCATCTGACGTACCAACATTGTGTTGTATCATCTAACCGCCAGGTAAACGGACATAGTGGCAAGTAATTTCCTGTCAAACTCAGACACCTCAGCTTACTTCTCTCAAACTCTGTATACGTCCATCCCCATAACTTCGCAAAATACATTGACTAGTTTATTTGAACTGGTCGGCAAAGACAATTTCGATTTATCCATTTTTGTTCGAACCCAGCAAACATAGTAACTGAGCTCTGAAGATGATAGTGTTTTCAACGAGCTGGCCTTTACTTACTTATGAACCATAGTTCTCTCTATATACAGAACAATGAATATCAGATTCTTTATGGATGCAACAACTAATACATATTCTATTTGTAACAAAGCACGAACGCCGTTACCATAAGCTCCATTCGTTCTGATTTATTTTATGCATTAACACAACTTTCCGATTAAAAGAATTCGTTGTTCACTTGACACAAGCCTCGATATTATAGTCGTTATATGTTTACGTAGTAGACGCCGATTGACTGTGTTTTGATTTCTGAATATGAGCAACTAGACTAAACCATCAAGTATATAATTCAAAACACTGAAAAAATTAACTATGGTTCTTGAAGGTTGTAATTTCCCTTTGCTAAAATTCATGACTGAATTTCGACCCATGCTTATGGCGATATGTAGAGCCTTAATGAGTATTTCTATATGTCCCTTTCGCTACAGGTTTTCGTACATGTTAATAGCTGATAGCGCTGAAATCTATGACTCTCATATTTTCTCATTCGGAATTCATGAAAAAACATTTCATGGTTTATTGATAAACATCACTCACCCCGAATAGCTTGGCGACTATCTAACCTCAGTGTCATAGTCGTCAGCACGTCAGTATTTAAGGTGATATGTGATAAGTTCCAATTTTAACACGTACGTTAATACTGGCATACATGTATTTCCAGCTAAAAAGTCCCAAACAGGATGTGATATGCATCAAGAATCTTACTGCTAGCCAACATTCAAATAGACTCAAAGGTCAACTAGTGGTTCTAAACCATGAATTTGATTAATTCAGAAAATTGAGTATGGTTTTAAATCAAGATGACAAAGACCTCCAACTATTGAACTATCATAAATACAGGCAGTAAGTCTATATGTATTTCTCTACACGACTTGGAAAACACGTAACTGATGTTATGAATTATCCTGTATCTCTACTTAAAGGTGGTTGTCGGTGAATCTACACAATTAAAACATGTGAACTAACCCATATTGACTTGTTTTCCTGCTCAAGAGATCTAGTTCTGCTTTAAAACTGTCATTTCGATGATCAACTGTTAGAATATTTTTTTACTTAAAGCATCATGGCTAACCCATCTTGCTGACTGAAATATTTATGAGTAACAAGTTAAGAACTTGCTCATCAGTTCAGACAAGTTTGTTTATTGTTTAAAGAATTGTTAAACGTTTACGCAAACCACTAAAAGTTAAGAACTTACAGTTGTTTGGTCTTCAGCTAGACCAAGATCATATTCACTTAATGCAACCACAAATATGATTGCAGTGACATCTTGGAAACAATGAATCCATTTTTTTCTTTCTGATCTTTGTCCGCCGACATCTACTAACCTACATTCACCAAACAATGAAAAGTAATCGTGAGTGGTTTTTTATTTTTGTCAGGAAAAAACAGATATGGATCTAGAGTGCCACCATTAAGCTAATTAATCAATGGAAATCTTATATCTTACAAATTTATCAAGGGTTAGATTATCAATTATAAAGAGTTAAGATAGATATTTATTCACAAATATGTGAAAATTATACAGTTCGTCGCATGGGTAACAATAAAGCAAAAATTTATTTTTATGTTCACTTCACCAATCATTCACGGTTTTAGTCGACCTTCACTAAAAATTATTATTTAAATTAAAAGCAGATTTTTAAACGTGAGAAAATCGAACGATACATTTTGAAACTTATTACCCATCACGAGAACTGACATATTGAAGAGTCAGTATGGGTTTATCTGATAAGTTGCTCTGCTTCATCTCGATTTAGTCTAGGGCAAATAGACCATTATTCACTGGTTCTTTTACCCAGGTATTTCTTTTATATCTTGTATCCTCCAACTTAATAAACTTTCAATATCCTACACTAAACCTACAATAGTCCTTCCGTTAATGGCTTTCTTTCAAAAACGAAACCTTATCCGGGTGTTAAGTGTAAATCAGTAAATAGTTAGAAGCAAAACACTGATCGAATTAACACAGTAGTTGTACTGTGGTGTGTGATACTTGTGTTTGCAGATATAAGTTGTTTGTAGCACCAGGTTCAGAAGATTAAAATGAAGAGAAGAGAGAAGTAATCAAGATGAAAACGGAAACAAAGGAACAAGGAGGCTTGTAAGAGATAACTCAAGGGAGATTCGCAAATAATGTAATTGGCGTATAATTTTCACATTTTACTAAACTACCGTGTAATTGTACAATAAACAATAAATTCGTCTTCCCCACCTGAGTGTTCGTTCACTGAAGTACTAAATTAAGCCAAAGTGTAAAGAATATTAAAGAATTTCGGTCGACAGATTGTAAACTGAATCGATTGCTATATTTTCAAACGAAAGTAAAAATGATCATGAATAAAAATATTCGCAGATAAAGAATGATTTCTTGATCAAAAAATTATTTAAAAGTAACTATGCTTCAAAGTTCGGTTGAAAGATGTCATTTTCTCTGCTCGGCTGTTTGGAAACTTACATCACGTGAATAAAGCATCGTTTAGCTCAAGATGAAACAAAACAATTTTAACGAAACACTTTTCCCCCCAATGCCTTCTGTTTTCAGTTGCTTGATCTCGCTCTACTTTGTTTTCATTAGAAGTTTAGTAAAAGTCAACTGAAAACGCAAATTATTCTCAGTTTATCACATGAATAATATTTTCATAAAAAACGTCATCTCAACATACTACTTAAAACTTCCTGGTGGTGACATTATTGGAAAACTTGAAACTATTGCCGTCCTTAGAGTTAACAAGTTTGATTTAAGCGAACATCAATCAGGATTCACCATTAAAACATTTACCGGAACTCAATCTTTTTGTAAGAAAACTGAGTTTCTTGTATGCCCGTAGTCTTTACACGTGTTCTTAATACGTCTTGGTCGGTCGGAATGTAATCATGTTTAGCCAATCTATCTAAAGAATTGAAAAAGCTGCAAAAGAATAGAAACAATGGGAAAGCAGTTGCTTTAGCCATTTGTTGCGGAAAAATAACATTTGTGTTTTATAATTTTTCCATCTCTTGATTATAAATCACGTAAACTCTTGGCAACATCTCGAAATATTTACTCTAATGCCGGCGGATGGTAACGCTTTCTTTGGAAAGCCAAAGTGACTAGGGGTAGTATCAATACAGAGGGCAGTTTTTTATACAGTACAAGAGAAGAATATGACACTCCCTATTATCTCCTCACTTTCAGTAAAAATAAGACATATAAATAATGATCATAGAAATGTTTCTTTTTTATTTCTTTGTTAATACAGCTGATGAATATTTTAAAAATCTGATATCATCCAGTTCGCCAAACAACTACTTGCAGCTAATATGTTCAGGCTTGAGGCTCGTAGTGTTTCTACTAATATAACGCCTAGTTTCTTTACAATTATTAAGTAACTACCAAGTTGGAGGGCTAGGTTGGTGGCAAAGGATTCTCACCTAGCTAACCTCAAGACGACAAAATTATATATCTATACAACTGTTTATGTTATGATATCTATCGTTGCCGCCAGTTTGAATTTAATTTATTATTCAAAACTTACTAAGATGCTGAATCATTTAATTGATATTCTCTTGAACGCTTAAAACATTGTTGAACACCATCGTCATTCCAGAGTTGATAAAGAGCATTGTATAGTTCAGTTGATAAGTAACCGTCTGCGGCCTCATTCGCACACGCAAATAAAGTTCGAGCGTCGTCCTATTTAAGATTTGCGGTAAACAAAATATTTTTTGTGATATTTGAGGAAGTAATAACTTGAACACACTAGAAAAAATTTAATCAACGGTCTAAAAAGTGATTTTTCATTAAGATTTTGAAAAATTATTGCATAATAATTAAAATAATACAAGACAAAAGTAAATATGGATAAGATCTCTTGGTCACATTTTTGCGTCAAAAATGTCAGGTTAAAGATCATATACTCAAAGCTAACAAGCAAGTTTTAGGTACCTTTTTAGGTATCTTCATAGGCAGCATTTTGTTACTATAAGCAACGAGAACACAAGTGGGGGCAACCAAATGCACATTAACATACACCACATTACTCTTAATTATCAGTATATACCAATGTCATTTATCACACGTTTATTTAGCTAGTGAATTTTTATTAGTAATGTGTAACTTTTAGGTTTTTATGTGAACTTATCCATAGTTGCAAGCTTGATATGTTGTTCACTCAAATGCAAATTTTATGAAATAAGTCATATGGCTTGTTTCTGTAAGGTGTAACATAAGAATACCATTTTAACAAGAAATAGTTAGACGTCAAGCAGAAAATTATAATATGCTTATTTCCTAAGTGCCAACCTTGGTACAATTATTTATGGAATTTGTTTTACTTTGTCTATGTTGCATGATTAGTCAGTGCATACTGTATGGTCTGTGCAACCCTCGATCCCTAGTTATCCCCGAGTTCAGTTAGTATTTTAGTAAAGAGCTATCTACAACAGTAGGCAAGCCTGACAACATGGTAATTTATTATTAGTTTTCTTCGACAGTTCGACATTCGTAGGAAAGAATGGACGTCTCTTGCGGATAAGTATGCCAGGTAAACAATCATTTAATGATATATCATGTTGCCCAGAAAAAGAACATTTGAAGGAATAAATCGATGGGTAATATTAATATATTGTAGCGGTAAATAAATCCCCACAATAAATAGCTCTGTAAGTTTTCGACATTGGATGCTGACCGTATGTTTTAGTGGACTCATCTAGCTGAAGGCACTCGGTCATGCATCCGCACCAGGTCACGTGTGGTAACGCTGTGCTCAACATCTACCGCAATCGCTAGCCAGATTAGATCAGAGACTTCCGATATATTGATAATCGCCAAATACACTCTCCCGATCTCCTCGACTCTGTCTTTTGATTTCTCTCGGTGGGTACAAATTATATTAGGAGGTGTTGCTGGTAAAAGCGTTGTCAAACACTGAATACCTGCGTCATCTTCAATATGTATCTATAACGAGACAAACAAGCCAGCGAGGAACCACGTAAACAGCCTAAATTAATAAAATATGTTATATTTTTCAAAACGCCAAAATTGTTTAGAGTTCCACATCTGTTTCAAGGTTTAATATCACAGTTTCGACCATAAACTACAATTCTCGAGCTCGTAACAAAGCCAAGACAGCTAATTTGGTTAAATGCATAACAAAAGATTGAAAATCCAGTTTAACTATAAAAACGATTTTATCTACTCTAACTAAAGCCTGAAGTGTTCTGAACACCTTAGTAATATTACACGTAATTTTCTATCGATCAGGACCATGAAAAAGCTATGCCTTTAGTTAGGACAATTTATAAGGATTGCACCATGCTTACTTTTGCCTTATATGCAGTTTTGCTCAAAATTGCTTTGTTAAAGTAGTAAATTGTTTGAGACTCAGACACACGACAAGGCAATGTTTTTAAATACCATCGTCAATGATTAAAATTCATCAATTCAATTAAGGATAGACGCTTTTAGACGTTGATTCAAATAGAACAATTTTCACAAGAAAAACGACTCACTATTCGGCACTCGTCCTCAAATTTAATGTACAAGTGACCCATGGCTCGTATAATTGCTATCATACTCTGAACGGTGTTGCTATAAACAACAGGCTTATAAAGTAAGCACTCCTCTCTTGTGTAGCTAGACTGGTGAATAATCCTGAAAAAAGTCATCTAAACATTGACTGACCCTACTTTAGCTGCTTAAGTATTGTACTTTTCCCAGACTCACCAGCACCTTGAATTATTAAAAGGTTATGAAACTTTGTATATTACCCAACAACAACAGCTTAGCTATTCTTGCCATTTTTTCGCCATCGCTTTTGAGTGAGGCGTCTATCTGTTTAGATCTTAGGACAGCTTCCTTCTCGTCAATACTTAGTAAACATCCCATCACGGAATATAGTTACAACGTTTACACCATGCGCTATTAATATGCAGTTAACAATAAAACCGAGAGTGTATCAAAACTTATTATCTTGTTTCGAGGTACATAATCAAATGATTGTTTTATTTTCTGTAAATTTACGCTGTACACTAGAGGAAGACCGCACTGATTGAGGTTTGAAAGGTACAAAAGTAAACATACCAAAAATGATAAACGATTGTGAATAAACACTTAACTTACTGCTGAGATTCAGAGTTATCGATTCTTTTATTTTTACAGCCCTTACATTTATTAGCTTCCTTTAATAAATAGTGCACCGTTTTTATGTTTAGATAAGACAAACGCAATCGCTAATTGCTTTATGCAGTTAGTAATATATGTTATGATAAGACTGCACGAACCCTTTTTATTTTACAACCTAATAAATCTACAACCAATAATCACAATATGGGTTTTGAAAATATCGGAAAAAGCATTCACCAATGATGTCATTTTCACCAGAAAGTTGTTCGTAACCTCTTAATTTTTTGTCAAATGAACCACATATTATGCTATAGCTATGGTCACTTGCTGAAGAGTATTTCCCTTTTTAGTAAAGTATATAATTTCATTGGCACAAATGTTAATATGAACTCAAGGAATGGCTGCTAATGCTGAAAATTTGTTAAATCCGTGAAATTATGCCTTTGTGTAGCTCAGTTTGCCTCTTGTCTCTTCACTTGAGAGAGCCTTTAATTCTTGAAAGATTGTACTGGAGTGTCTTAAAGCAACGCTGCCATGGCAGAGTTTCATATTAGGACAAAGTAGCACTGAAGCTAAATCTAAGTCATTAGTGAAGAAAATATCCTGAAAAAGTTATTTTTATGTTCGACATGAGAAATCAATCATGCACTTTTGAAATGTGAGAGCCACGCTTATCTCATTTGTTTAAGCGGTACGAAATCTACTTGTCCGTAACTCTGCAATTGAGTGAATAATTTTTGTGCCGTGGAAGGAGAATGCTGTGTTTTGATATGAGGTTTAGGGAGATTTTATTCTGACAGGAGAACTAGACAATTCATGGAAATCTATGGATTTCAATAAACTTGCAGTGGTAAATAAATCCGCGTAACAAATAGTTCTATAAGTAATCAACATTAATGCTGATCTGTCATAACCCTTGACGTCTTCAGTGGTGGTTTCGATGTAATCTTCTATACCGAACGAAACGCTTTGATAAAAACCATCCGCATATGTGGAGACCTAACTGATTGACAAAGGCTGAACCAGCTCTCACACAATAACGAATCATGAGACCGAAAAGCGATGAAAATGTCCCAACTTATGGGTAACATCATTAGTAACCGAACTTTCAGCGAATCGCATTTCAGAAAACTCTTTATATCTAAGCTCCTTCAGAAGATGCAAGCAGTTCTTAATTCGTTCTTAAATAACACCATAGATCAGCTTGTTGTATTTGTTTACAAATGAGCTTCATTTATTCTTCACGTTCTGGATACCACCAAAAGAACTGGCACTGAGGTTTATTATGTTAAGAAAAAGCTCAGTCAACAAAAACGAAATAACATTTCCGTAATACCATCACTTCCTTTCTGAACATCTACCATGATCACAAATGGTCTAAGATTCCTCAAAAATGCCCTTCACGTAAAAGATCTGCCTCTAGTTCCCTGGTAATATATAAATGAAATCAGTACTCGTACAACAGCACCCATGATAAATCCTCCAGAAACTGTGCAGTTTTAATGATCCCAAACCTGTCACGATAAACCTGAACGAAAATTCAGTTTGCAACCAGCAACCACACTTGGAGAAACTCTCGAGTAGGTCGAATCTTTCACGTACCTGGACAGCATCATCGATGGGCGTGGATGACCCGATGCAGACGTAAGGGCTAGAATTAGTAAAGCAAAGGCCACCTTCCTGCAGCTGAAAAACGTATGAGACTGAAAACAAGTGTCAACCAATAACAAAGTCAGCATCCTCAACACGAACGTCAAGATAGTTCTACTGTTCAGAGCTTAAACGTGGAGAACTACTACAGTCACTATCAAAAGCGTACAAGTATTTATAAACACTTTTTATGCACGATACTATCTGTCCGTTGACTGGAAACTATCAGCAACAGCCTACTTTAGGAGAGAATAAACCAGCTTCCAGTTGAATTGAAAATTAGGAAAAAACAATGAAAGTGGATAAGACATACATTACGGAAATCATCAAACTTCATCATGAGTCAAGCGCTTACTTGACATCTTGAAGGGAAACGGAAAAGAGAAAGACAAAATTAAAAACACTGCATCAGGAATTCAAAGCAGATATGAAAGGATTTGTGGCCGCTGGAGTGTACTTGAAAAGATTTCTCAGAGCCGAGTTGGATGAGGAATGCTGGTGGATGGCCTTTGCTCTTCCACGAGGGTTAATAGGCTTAAGTAAGTTGTAATATAAGTGTGTCATCCAGTTTGAAAAATGCTCCACAAGCTTTCAAGAGATACATCAACATTGTTTATGCACGTATAAGTCGATGACTGTCTAGTAGCAAGTTAATTGCCAGAATCCCGTCTCCAACATTTGACCTTTGTTTTTCACTGACTCCAAAGGACCGCACTACCGTTAACACAGAAATTTCAGACTGTTATCTACTAACATGACTTACACAGGCAAGCCATATTCGCCTAATGTACTTAATCCCCAGAAAACAAAGTGGCAGCTGTTCTAGTTCACTCAGGACCGACCACAGTCAAGTGACTGAACACATTCATATATCCACTGATGGTCCAAACGAAGTCTTATGTGACCATGCAATGTCATCGACTTGAACGACAGTGATGAAAGCCATCCATAAACGTCCAACCGTTTCTCCTTACCCGTCTTCAGACAAGTACCTTCCTTAAGAATCAAAGAGCTGGACTTCACTTCAAAAATCAATTCGGACATACGTATTTCAAGGACAGGCAGTGTAGGCCCCCACATACTTTTAACGGTCCTCTTAAAACTTTTCCAGATTCGAAAAATAGACACCGATCTTCTGTATGTGTTATTCTCAACAACCCTCAAACAGATAAGATCAGACAAGGAAACTGTACTTTGTGCCAACACTGCAGTTAACAATAGTCCATTCATGAGGAAACACTGTTGTCTCAATATCTTCAATACGTGCACAAGCTTACGTATCCAAATTTTCAAGTACCCATCAAGTTAAAAGAAGATCGATATTTCCGCCCTAGTATGAATCAAGACTTGAAGAAGCGAAAACGTTTTTGCATGAGTTACCGGACATCAAAGGTGATTATACTTGCTAAATGTCCCCCAGAATAGTTAAAATCTCCTGGAGCCCGCTTCAACCATATTAGTCATTATTTGGTAGGTCTTACCAAAATCAAATTATACTCTTATTTCTTAGCGTGGATAAACGATTTAACACGATGGTTAGAAGCAGTATCTGTCAGAGACCTCACTACTTAAATAATGGCCTGCTCCTTCATCAAACGACTGGTAGCAAACCATGGTCGCACTTCGACTGTTAACAAAAACCACGGATCTCAGGTCAAATTAGGATTTTTGTGTATCACAACACTCCCAGGAATCACATGAACTAAACGACCGTCTTCCTTCTGTAAATCAACAGGTTGTTAGAACGATTTTAATGACAGTTGAAGGTTTTACCCTCAGCAGAAAACATTTTTGAATAGACTGATATAGTTAGATTTGTTTTATTCAGAATTTGTATTTCAGTGAAGATGACACGACACTTTGAACCCCAGGAGAATTCGTAGATTATTCAACCTCAATGCGTGTGGATCAAAACACCGACTTTAACCGGCTTACAAACGTTCAGTTAAACCTGGTTCAACTCGACCGTCGAAGCCACACCTCACGGTTAGTGCCTAAAGTGGACTACCCTTTCGTCGTATCCAGACTCTATGGCTACTTTGAAGACCGTATAACACATAGAACGTTGTTACAAAAATATATTAATGAGAGTAGGTGTATGGAAGGGAATGCGATCACCATGGTATGAGCCGGGCAATAGTGTGAGATAAATCGATATACGCGTTGGTTGTCCTCGAACTTGATGAGGATCGGTGAACCGTTCGACACTCACTGCTGGATGATTTGTCTAGTGCCTAGTGACTTTTAACTGACCCTACAGTATCATTTGCAACTTGTGTGAGAAGGCAAGACAAAAATGAAAACGCACTGAAAATTATCAATGTTCTGGAATCAGACAACTCAATTCTTAGTAGAAATCTGTAATATCATCTTAATGAAATATACACGATAAAAGAAAATTAGTCAACTACATTTATGGCAGTTTATCTTTGTCCTTGTGGCCGAAGTGATGACCTTAAATGTCCGGAAGCGCTCTATATAAGCTAGTTGATGTACTCTATTTTCCAAAGTTAGAATGTCGAATAGACGGTCTGGCAATCTGCGCACTTATTTAATAAAGTATGTTCGTTTTCGTATGCATATCGGCTTCTCTGTAGAAATTCAAACCCACCTTTGATCAGGTAAGTTAAGTTCACCTGCCTCAATGGATCCCTAGTACGGTACAAAAGATGGTATTCCATTGTCTGATTTGAAGAGACTTCTCGGGAAGTCTGACCTACCAGAATCAAAAGTTCACAACATTGTGGACTCAGCCGATAAAGATGGAGACCAGTTCATTACTTACGATGAGTTCCTGAAACAAGTAAGTATTTTCAAGACATAGTGTAACAAATTTGTATGTTGTCAATGCGTGATCTGATGTGATGCACAGTAATAGAAAAAAGGTGTATGTGACAAACTACAAGCTTAGAACGATAAGTCTGGTTGACACGGTCGACATCTCGTTTGTGCTACTTGTATTTATCAGTTTAACTGATGGTGTGATTGTTTAGTGATATGATTTTTAATTATCCTCTACTGTGTATGAGTGGTGTCCTAATTCGTGTTGTGTATGGATGCGGTTGGACTTGAGATCATGTTCCTCTATGGCGAAATCACTCGGTTATCTTTGTATACATTATCACGGTTGTTCCCAGATTACGAAGCAGGTTGACGCATAGATTCCAATCTGTTATTTCGACACATGCAAGTCAGCGTGTTTTCCACCTTCGAGCTTTGGTATTTGTTGTGGGAATGTAATAAAATCGTAGTTTACTTTTGATGGATGAAACTGACCTGTTCCTGGTGGGTGGAATTTGTGAAATTTCATACTAGGAATTTTCGGAATGCTTATATGGAATGCAATCATATAATGCTTTATTATGCTCCCCATATTGCTCTTGTACTGAAAATGAAGTTTTCACTAATAGAGTATGAATTTTCTAAACATGTGGAATGTCCGACTAGGTCTGTTTCGAAGCGTAAACTTGTAATATTGTCGATGCTGAGAGCTACTGATGGAAGAGGACTTCGTCTGTTCTCCTCCTAGTTATTTAAATAACCCAACACTTGAAACTGTGTTGACGTTTGACTGTTAAGTAACACTATCGGGTTGTTGGTTCGACTTTCTTGACTGTATGATTAAAATCTTATTTCATGACGCTTGTGTATTGTGTAAACTACAATAAATGTGGCTCAAAATCTGAGTTTCTTTATATAGCATAGTACTTTTGTTGCATTTATATTCCAGTTTATTGAGTGATGTCCATCTTTATATCTTTGCTATATATGTCCATAATTTACTGTATTCTTTTACGAATCATATGTTGCCACAGTTTATGGCGGACAGCATACATTTGATTTCGACTGAACTTGTTCCCTCTAAGAGCTGTTTTTGAATTCTAGTAATGTTTTTGAGAGCAGCTGGGCGTGTTGGGCAACAATATGATGGTTTTTAACAATATTCCATAAAATCAACGTAGTTTTTTAATCTTTTGGTGTAGTTATTAGTTCCATTTTAGTATTCCACTTTTCCGTCTACTATGTTTCCCTAAATTTCCAATAGGTTCTATCTGAGGATGAAGGAACTCTCCGGAAACTGCGTATTCACAAACGAGTCCTCAATCGTGCAGTGCTCGCTATAGCACCGGATTGTGGACGCGAGTATCAACGGACTGTTGCTGTAAACTCTGGTTACGATTCTATCGATGGCTACAATTGGGGTGAAGCAGACGTTGATAATTATGTACAGGCGTATGACTGTCGTCCTCCTCCTATATTTATCCCTTTGATAACTATTGCTGAGGTAAGTCATTTCCTGATTGACTGACAACACTTTGTTTTACATGATTTGGTTTTTGTTTGTGGATCTGTAAATTATTTTGTTGTTCACTAAGAAGTGTCTATCAGCACTATTCTGGTCTAAAATACTAATTCTGATGAGAACGAATTAGTTTTTGAAAACAGTCACATGGAAGCAACATTAAACAGTGAAGTGGATCTCTATAATTTGAATAAGATCTAAACACGAAGTTGTAATTTTGAAAGCCAAATGAGAAGTGTTATATTTTTGTTCACTGTATATTGTCTTTCTCACTATGTATGAGGGGTCAACAGTTGTTCGTAATTTTATACTTCTGTACTGGGTACGTCGTTTGAGCCGTATTTAGACATAATTTCCACATTTCTGGGCGCATATTGTTTCGTCGATCCCATTGTTATGTCTTTTTTAAAAAATCATTTGATTATTTTTTAGTGATCCATAAACACTTAAATATTGTAACCATAAGCTACTGCAACCAATGTTTTTGAAGACACTGAAATAAGGACATTACTGAAGCAAAACCTCGTACTATAGTTTGTGTGAAAGTTTAGAAAGTTTTTCTGTACACACGTTTTTTCATACACGTACTGCGTACCAGAAACCCATTTTCGGTTGGCTTTTACCATATATTTCTTTTCGAATATCCAATTGTGATCTTTCTTGTTGTTGAACTTTTGTTTCTCAGTTTTCTAAAAACTATTTTTCTTAAATCATCTGTTGCGGTTCTCATGGTTAGTATATTCAATCTCAATTTCAAATATTGAACTGTATAGTAGTACTAAAATTATACTTTTACATTTTAAAAGTCACACGTTAGTGACTGTCGATACTTTCGATGTTTTTTTTTGTTCTTTTTTTAGATTGTAGTTTTTATTTACTACGTTGTTACTTACAGCAACAAACCTAGCTCTTCCAGTATCGTCACAGCGTCATCTGGTGTCCCAATTGATAGTATACTTATTTATAACCCAACTAAACGTCATGAAGTATGGAGATTTTTAACCTATATGTTTATTCATAATGGTTATGTGCATCTAGCTTTCAATTGCTTACTTCAAGTTGTACTTGGTCTTCTACTTGAAATTGTTCATAAATTCTGGCGAGTTGGATTAGTTTATTTGTTAGGCGTTATTGCAGGTAGCTTTCGTATTATTATTTGTAAAAATACGTATTTGTAAAAGATTTTCAGACTTTTTTTTCCTTGAAAAAGCTTCCGCCAGATTGCCAGGCAAAACGTTGGATCTACTTCAAATTCTTTCGCTGAAATTTTACAAATACATTTTTCCACTTATGTATTCGTTTTCAAAAGTTAAAATGTTAGGTAATGACTGGAAACTTAGGTCTACTCAAAACTTATTGTAAAGTACATGGCAACACTATGATCGCAAGTGTATTGTCTGATTTTACTTTCTGTGCTTTCCTGTTCTTTTATTTTGCCCTATTTAACTCCGAAACACCTATCTACACCCGACCAGTCCTATGTAAATATTTAGTTCTTTTGTCTTGTATATTTATGTTGTATGTGTTTGGCAAGAAATTTTTAATTTGTCCCTTGATTTTTTACCGAAAATTCAACAGTTATCTATTTAATCCTGTTTTTGTATATTAATGTTTTCACTATAGGTTCTTTAGCTCATTCTGTGAGTGACCCATTTGTTTTGTTGGCAGGAGCTAGTGGGGGCTGTTATGCACTTATTGGCGCTCATTTAGCTACTGTAATAATGGTATGTTGGGTCTTCTGTCTTGTTACCACATATTTTTAATAAATCTCAACAAAAAATAGAAATTATTGCTTTATCATCCACCTATGGCAAGTGTAGACAATATATTGTTGTGTAAATCGAGTAGTAACAGTCTCAAAGCTTTTGAAGTGATTTGGTTGTATATTATTTGATAATTGTTACCCAGGAGTTGATTATCATTTGAACTAATAACATGAAACGTTTTTTAATAAGGAATCCGAAACGCATAATCAACTGTTAGAAATATACCATGTCTAATCAATCTGATTCAGAGCAAGTCAGTTAGGTATAAATGTTTTCGAATTGAAATAGTAAAGATTTATAGGAAGGGATATTTCGTTCATATGGGATGTTGTTTATGGACAGTTCATTCCCGACATGTTTAGTTAAATTTTCTCTTTGTTGATAATAACTGTTGGTGTTATTGTGATAAAATTAGTCTTATAATAAACTTATCATTTTAATACAATGACAGCAATGGCTAAAATTATTGAACTGGCAACTCACTCATTAAACCTGTGCTCAAATTAGATCTGCATAGCATTCTTACGGCTAATCCAATCTTCAACTTATTGGGTGTTTTTTAGGGAAAAAACTATTTGTATACAAAATGTTTAATCGAGATATTGTGACTGAGTTGCTTATCAGTCGGGAGGTTGCGAATGAAAGTGAAATTCACAAGAAAGTCAGTAACTCACATATAGGTTTTTTTGTTTTCCACAGTCTGTCTAGTTAAAGAACGTTTAGAATGAATCGAAATCCTTTCAGTACTACGTCTTTGTAAGTTCAATGCTTTGACCTATCAAAAGAGTGTTGTACACATTTCTACCAAACTATGACATCGTTGCGATTTTCATTGCCCTGTTCAATGAGGTGGCCGAACTACTTTGGATTCCCTTGTCCAAAACAACTGTATACTGGTTCACTGAGTACTGGAAGTTTTTTTCATATTAGTCATGGTTGTAAGATGACCCAATAGAAAATTCAGATCATTTCGAAATTAGGGTCTTAGGTGAGGGAAATGTAAAACCAATTATTTTCAAATAATGGTTGTGCCTTTGACTTATCCGTTACCTTGAAAAAAACACAAGAAATAATTTACCGCGATTCTGTTGATTTGTTTGTTAAATTTGATCAAGATATATAACTGAAAGTTATAGGCTTTATGTATTTCAATCTCAGATTCGTTAAATTGTTTTTGTATAAATAAGGTGATGAGATATTATTTTGAATGATAACTCTGCCAATAAACTATCCGGCGGTTAAGTATCAACAGGTAATTAGGAAGTTGTTTCGTCTGATATCTATCAGATTACAATAGAAAAATTACATTTGCATATGAATTTCGGTTATTAGTGCCTATTTAACTTTGTTAAAGTTCATACTGTTTTCTTTGAATTATTGTTTTATTTTTCGAATACTTCAGAATTGGGATATAATGCAAGAGGGATGGCTGAAAGATCCTTTAAACTTCATATCAAGTGGTGTTGTCAGGTTAATTCTAATCATTCTACTTGGTGAGTTATAATCATCACATACTTATTTGCATCGTAAATTACTGCATATCACACAAAGGTTTATACATTTCTTCCACTTTTACTAATTCTATTTTAGTTATGCTTTCTTTTCTATTATATATATATATATATATATATCATAAGTTTTGATTTTCAGTTGGTTAGAAAATTGAAGCTATTTCATCAGATACCCTATAACTAACTGTATGAGATCTCCACCTGGTGTACACAATGTGTTGCCAAAAACAAGACATCCGAATCTGTACCTAATAACTGAGTTAAGTCACTCATCACATTATCTACTTTAAATACTGGCTTAAAAGGTCTATTACTTTAGCACTTCTCTTTTTTTAATTATTTTACGGTTGATACAGTTATTTTCGAGTCTAATGTTCGTCTGTAAACATTTTATTAATTGTCAATGGACGATTTGTTATCTGTTCCATTTTCCTAGTAATTTTATATCGTACGGTTTTAGGTTTCACTAGAATGAAAGATCCTTGGTCTGTTTTTAAAGAAGACATTAGTAATGTTTAATTATTTCAGGCATAAAATCCAAAAATATATTTTTCGTAATCGTGCAAAATATAAATAACCTTGGTATTTATGATAAACCGTTTCAATGTACCAGAGTAGCTTAGCGGTTTTATTGCTGCTTTGAATACGTTTATTTTAATTTGTTCACCTGAAACTTTAGTTTGAACTTTTATCAAATAATTGCTCATATAATTAGTGATAGAGTACTGTTGAAATCATTTAGATTGTCATGATTAAACTAGATGTTCAATATTAGTACACTGCATGCCAATTTACTAGTATAATAGTTTGCTATCTTGTCTGCACATTATTGTTATATGATTATCGGTATTAATTCATGTTCTCTATTTTATTTTAACACTTTAAGGTGGTGGTGATACTGGATTAGCCATTTATGCTCGATTGAAAAACCCAGATGAAAGAACACGTGTTGGTTTTTCTGCTCATTTCGGTGGATTTATAGCAGGTTACTAAACAAATCTAATTTGTTCTAACAATTATCGTTCTTTTGTTACGTATCCACTTCCTACCAGTAACCAATGATTAGTTTCTTTAAACATATGTAAATTGTTTATTGACCCAGAATTACATATTTAGTGCGTTTTCGTGCTCAATTTATGGTGAAATTTTCAAATTCGTAGTTCAACTCCTGGAACTATCATAAATATGTACAATACTAGATTGTACAACCATAGTTACATTTAGACAGATAAATTAACTAGCTATAAAGTTATATTTTCTATATTTTTCTGCTACTTATATCTCTTTATAATTTTTAGAACAGTGACTTAATGGTTGCAGTGCGTGATCTCCAGCCTCGCGCTTATAGGTTTGAACACCATGCTATCTACTTTATTTTAGACAAATAAGTAGTATCACGTCCAATAGACAAAGGCTAGTTTAACTATACATTAAGTGCACACAAAAATACTCCTAGTAAATAAGTTGTTATTATTATTTCTGAGTTTTACAACAAGAAATACAAGCAAATGTAAATGTATTTACAAACATAGATACAATAATATAACTTGTTTAATAATATCTTCAAAACCCCAATACATTGATTTCTAGTAATAAATTTGACCTAGTCACATGTTTGCTCATTTGTAAAAGTATTTCATATAACTGAAGATTGTATTTATCATATTAAGTATCTAAAAGTAAAGCTGGCAAACTATAACAAAAGAATTTTTTGAATGCTGTTAGAACAATATAAGTAGATGTTAAACTATTGGCAGCGAATCTTAGTCCTACTCACATATTTATTTGATCCATCAATGCTAATCATGTATCATATAAAAAACAGTTTACGTGTTATTAATTGAAACCAAACTTAATATAATGTCTACCTCTGGCTTGTATAAGGGGTAGATGAAATAGCTCTTATCCTTTAAACTATCTCTTTATTGTGTACATATGTTTTCATTGAAGCTACAGATGGTATTTTTCGTATACTGATTATAAGTAATGTTTTCTGAATGGTTAAGTACGTCTAAATTTCTAATGTTCAAATAAAAGAGCACATACGTAATTTGTTTACTTATTGTTTAAGCCTTGGACGTGGAACAGATAGTGAATTGTAGTTTTGAACTCCATCGTACCTCATTCGATGTCTGGAAATGAACTGCATAAATAAACCTAACTTCATATTATACAACTGAAAGCTAAACACACGATCATGTACTCAGCTATTGAGTTGTGATAAGTTTATCCAACATTCTTATTTCACACAGCCGGCAACTATTTGTTTACTTCATCGAAGTAGGGTACGGAAATAAACCTTTTGATCGCGATAAAGTTCGAAAAATTACATACTTAAGTTGCAGAAGTAGACAGTTAGGTATGAATGATGATTTATAATATTTTTCCCTCTGTGATATACGACGATAATAAGACTGGGTGACCAAGTTTATAATACCAATAAATTGGATACTCGAACAGTTCGCCATACACAGGCTAAATTACGTCATATCAGATACACGATTCACAACCAGGGATAGAGAACCAGAGTAGCGCTAGAAAATACTTTATCTGACTCAGTTACAATCAGTCATTCGATGGTTCTGGAGTAGAAATCAATGAGAGGAGAAGAAATCACATATTTGATGTTCAGTAAATTGAGTGCCTGTTTCTTTAAACTCAGTGACCAATCAGATTTGCCTTCACCACCATATATCAACTTTATAATCTAATGTAATTGAAGAGAGTTTCTGTTTCTTTAATAGTGGTGGTTGTGATTCTGAATGAAGAACAATCTATTTCAAAGTTTTACCTAGTTATGGATCCCTAGAGTTGTAAGATTTTGTGTTTATCATCTTTTAAATTACCACTAACAATTACAATGCATTGACAGTATCCAATAGTGCAGACGATGTGGTCCATTAAGGTTCTTGGTACTTGTGTAACTGTTTCACGAGAATGTGCTGTGCGGTTCCAATCGTAACGAGATTAGATGAGGTTTGTTTCCCTTTAAACTAGTGTAAAAGTACCCAGTTTCAGTGTATATTTGTAATCGTAATGTGAGGTGGTTGTTCAGGAGTTGAGGTGTTTGTGTTTCAGCTACTGAGCTTCGGGATTGCAACCCTGCATCTAGTTCGTTTCGACCGACCGGCTGAAAGTCGAGTACACGAATCGGTGCCTGTTGGTTTGCAGAAACGAATAAATCACTTAGTCATTGCATTTAAATCAGAAAAACTTGCAATCAAGTGACCATGTTGTAATTTTTGCGACTCATTGTCGTTATACTACAAGGTGCTTGACATAACGTTGACACAGATTGTCGTTTTCAAGTAACCGATATATGCAAGAAAATGTAAGATTGTCCTTTTCAAATAGTTACATTGGGAAACATATCGTCAAAATGTTTTCAGATTTAATTTTGTTGAAATTTCATTACCTATTTCTCACATATATGTCTTATTTTTTTTTCATTTCTAGGTCTTTTATTAGGTGTAGTTATTTTGCGCAATTTAAAGGTGGAAAAGTGGGAAAAAGTTTTCTTTTGGATATGTATTCTTTTCTTCGTCCTATTGTTGTAGCAACTATCTTATTCAATGTATTTTGTGCAAGAATTAACAAATGTCCTGCCTCTATATGGAATACCTAAAAAATTCAATCAGATTTTTATTATTTTTATGACAGAATTTATGCATTCTTGTTCTGTGAAAACACACTTTTCCAGATTGTAGACCTAATTTTTTACTTCAACGTATGTATGTAACTAATCAAAGCACTGTGTGTTTTTGTGATTGTGCCTGTGTGCGCCTGCTTTCGTTGGCTTCCTTGTTAACTCTTTCTCCTTTATGGATTATCTAAAATATACTATTTTTGAAAACCGTTTATACTTTTTCCGTTTTTCATTTTTATTGAATATAATGCCTTACTTGTTATTATCATTTTTGTCTAACTTCGTTGATCTCTAGTGGTTAGTATAAATTTTATCATGAAACACATACTTTGTTTCTTTTATAAAAAAGACGGGTAAATACTGTCTGACTCATAGAAAGGAATTAACGTATTTATTCTTGTCTGGTCAGTCTTTTACGTTCATTTCTTATACTTGGACACTATCTTATGCTTTATTTGCATGACTGATATTAATGTGGTACATGCTGACACTAAAATACAAATTGTTGTTTTCGTATATCTCGTGTTCTAAAGTCTAGTCCTAGTGACTTTTGTTTATTTATTTACTTTTTTTGGATCCATAATCATCTCTGGATATTTTGATTGGATAAACTTTTGTTTTGTCTCATTACCATCGATTTATTAGTATTATTTGGTTGTGTATCAGACAATCTAAGCTAGGTAGATATAATATCATTATCTTTCGTTTTGTAATGTATCAGTGTAGCATACATACATACATACATAGAGGAATTTTTAGTTTTTGTGTATAAATATAAGGGTTCATGAAGCGTCAGTAATGAGTATTTATTTTTTAGAGAAAAATTAAACGAATAAAATAGGACAATTTAGATAAATAATAGAAAGTAATGAAGTGAGATTACTTATTTTTAGTTAAGATTTTTGTTTAATTCATTTTGTTCATATGGTTTTTTCAACTGCTTTGTTCACAATCTATATGACTAAGATTGATCAATATTTTGTTCCTGTTACATAAATTGTGAAGGTATTCTTTTTTAAATAGATGTATTTGTATGCGTTGCGCAATTAGAAACTTTATATTATTATTACTATTGTTTGCTAGTGTATACTTTCTAAAATATATTTGTGTACTTAATAAATTGTTCTTTTTCATACATTCATATATTTAGTAACTACTAGATATGAAGATTAATAATTTGGGTGATTTGACATTTCATTATTTGAACTCATTTAACAAATAGATCGATGATCGTATGATGATTAGTTGTTCATGTGCTTTAAATGGTTAATTCTTATTTTTATTCAAAAGAAGTTTAATACTTGAAGTCAATTATAATTCGATTTAGTACTTAAGTACAATTTTGCCAACTCGTCTGAGTTAAGTTTTAATATAACGTGAAAAACACATAAATGCTTGATATTGCTGGGGCCAGTGTGATCAGGCAATAATTGAGAAGGTAGCTGTTGTAATTATCAAATTCCAGAATCTTAACGCGCATTGGTCTTCGAGCGGCTTTTAACCTAGTGTCCAATCAAAGACAAATCAGTTCTTTATTAGAATCTATTCAATTATGGCTCAAAACTCACTATATTGTAGCCAAAATATATAACCACACAGCAAAGCAATTAGGGGATTATAATGTGTACATAACTTAATTGTAAGTGATACGAAATATGAGTAATAAAATAATTAATGTGAAATATGGAAAAAAGACGTGCGACAGTTACTTATGGGTCGATGGAGAAGTTAGAAAAAGGTGAATGAAGAAGTCTCAGCGAAGGAAATTTCCTTTTCGATGATATCATTTCTGAAGCTGTACAACTTTTCTATGTAGCAGTCGATGGTAAAATTATCAAAGGTAGTTGAACTTACTAAAGTGTAGACCACTGAAAGTGAAATGGTGGTCCCGAAAAACAGAGTTAAAACCTTTACGGGATCCCTTGAGAAATATGTCTACGACTATTTTGGTGCTCAATTATCCACGTTCCAAATGCATGCCCTGTCACTATGTTCGAAATTTTGTGATACTTCTTGGGAAATTGATGGACCTTACACAAAAATGTAATTCTAAAACCTCATCAAACAAACATCTAACTTAAATCTGGTTTTCAACAGTCATTTTGAGCAACTCGAATCAACTATAACTATTGTCATGAGTACATCAGTTTGGATACTATCATAAATCTGAATAAAAAAGATAAAGAATAAGGATTTATTTTTGCTCTGTTAAGATAAAGTTTTTGGACTTGTTCTTATGGACTGAAGGGACCATATTGATAAATTATCCTCAACATTTAATAATGAGGAAAAGTTTTCTAAAGAACCAAAGAAAAAAGATGCCAGATGTAACTAAACTTAACCATAATGCTGAAAAAGATAAAAGTGGATTAATAATCGACGATGACTTATTCAAACGTTTAAAGCCATCGGGTTTTTCTATCCCACTGTTGTATGAACTCGCGAAGCTACACAAGAGACATTTTCCTCTTCGTCAGATAATGGACATAAATAATCGCTCATACCACGCGATTGCCAAATGGCTGGTGGAAATTCTACTGTGATGTGAGCTACTTATATCTACATAAGTAGTATATGGCGATAGTCGGGCATAGAATGTATTTAGAAGATAGAGAAGCAAACAATGGGAATGGGAAGCAATCGCTATGAAAATAAATGAACAATAAAATCTGAGACGATCGACTGATATATACAAAATAAATAGTCAAGTTTAAGACAATTGATTGATATTTTGCAAATTAACTATTCACTGTATGGTTCTCAGATTTTATTGAGATGTTCTGTAATCTTGTGCTAAAATACATTCGGTTTCCCTCACTTGTGTTTCCCTTCACTACACTACTACCTCTCGAAAACCGAATCTGCAAACATAGCGTTTCAGACTTTCGACTTCTTGAACTCAATAGTCAACGTCGATGTATCAAGAAAAATGATATTGTTACATGTTACTTCTCTATTCACGATTGTCCCGCTCATAAAGTATTTGCTTCTTATGTGATCATATTTACTTTAGCAATGTTGACGTCGGAACACCAAAACATTTCCTCAAAGAGCTATTCCTACGTTACATTTTCAACGCTAAATTTAACGACGATCTCTGGTGTCGTGATGAGAGCTCTTATAGCAGAATATGTTTATGGCCAACTTAAAGGACACCATCTTTCGGTCAAAAATCGGTAAATTTTATTTTTGTAAGCGATGTATGGATAATGCTTTTGTCATCTGTGACGAAGACAACAACCTTAATAAAATATTGCAGGAGTTCAATAATTATCACCAGTCGGTCACATTCACAATGGAAGCGGATTTGATCTCGGAATTCCACTTCCTTGATATTTTTGTAGAACGAAGATCACACTGGTCTCTACAACGGTCGTTATACAGAAAGCCAGTCTGAAACGGGCTTAATGATATAAACCTTTTTTTATTCAGTACTTAAAAAATTTTATTACATTGAACTAACATCCCTCCATTTATAAATTATGATAGTTGACATTTGAAATTTTTGATAATCTTTACTACATTGTGCAGCACCACTTCGTTTTCAGTGGCTTACATTTGAATAAGTCTGACTATCTTTGATAGTTTTATAAACCTCTATTTTACTATCGACTGCTACATGTAGAAATTGTACAACTTCAGAAAATATCATCGGATAGAAAATTTCCTTCGCTGCAACGTCTCCATTTTTTGATGAACCAGTGAACCTCTTTCTTTTTTTAAATCCAACAGTTCAAATGTTATGGATTCTCTTATTACTACCCAGGTACTCTTATTGCTTAGTATTTTTGGATACTACTTCACTCCACAAGTCCTCAAATAAGAACGCGTATAAATAGGAACGTAATTATATTCCGAATTGTTGGGATGACCCAGAAAATTTCTCGCAAAGGTCAACCAAGGATCAGGAAAACACTAAGAAGCGTTTCCTCCAATCAGCGTTCACTTGAAGTTTGAGCCAGAAATATCAAGGGGGCGAAACGTCACATGCAGAGGTTCTGATTGGCTAATTGCTACACTGTTACTATGTTTAGTAGCACTCCAGAATCTTCTAGCAACCCAAGGACATTCAAAATATAAAAACCCTGTATTTTCTGTATTGAAATGAACTTTGGAGTAAAGTATTTCTCGCATACTTTGAATCTTCTCTCTCGTTGTTCAGGTCGCTGTATAGTTTCTAGCTTGGGGATTACAGAATAGCTTAGGAAATGAATATAGCGTTCAATTTGCAAGACATCACAAATAAACGAGGGTAAGTGGAAGTAGGAATCAAAATGAGAGAAACGTTAGTATATTTATAATTTTCACACCATAATATTCTAGAGTCTTTTCCGTGTATCCGCTAGTCCAAGTGTATACCTTGCCATGGTGATTGTAGTATTGGCCATGGTTGGAGCTATGCTTCCCGTGGTGGTTTTGTTGCTAATTCGCACTTGGTATAGGAACAGAATATCTGCTCAAGTTGGTTGTCTAAATGTGGCCAACACACAACATCGTGCTAGTGCTTTCATCCAATTTCTTTCAGTATGTCCTGAGTGCAACTGTTTAAACACTGTTGGCTATAACTTCCTCGGATCATTACACGTTTGGCAAACAGAAGGCAGTCATCGGGGATTAAGAGAGCTAGCTTGCTCTGGTGAAACTGATGAACCTCTGTGGAGCTGATCTTCGTGGGTCACTCTTCTAGATGAAACTTTTTAATTTCGTGGAACCGAGCCTCCAAGAGTTTATTCTCTGACTTCATCTGATGACACTGGATTGTTTCGAATGGTATCTGCTACTACACTCCTTATTTCTGGATCTACAACTATGAAAATAATGATCATGTCCTCCAGTCCAGGATGTTGAACTCCAATGAATCGAAAGAGAGAGTTGAATTGATCGATGGTATTTGGTGACGGATACTCGATATTGAAGCCATAGCTCATAAGCATTGTCTCCCATCGCTGTAATCTGTTGGACCTATAGACAGGAATTCCTTTCTTAGAACCGGAAATTTGAGTTAAAGGTTTGTGGTCTGTCAGTAAAACGTACTGACGTAGAGCATTTTATGGAATTTTCGACAGGAAAAATGATTGCAAGGGCTTTCCTTTCAATCCAGGCGACTGTAGTTCCGGTCAGATGGATTGGGTGACCTATCAGCATAAGCAGTTGTCTTTTCTGATTTGTCCGGAAACACGTGAGATATCACTGCTCCAAGTCCATTACTAGAAACATCAGATACATTAACAATTCCCAAGCTGGAATCGAAGTTTGTCAACAAAAACCTCCAGCTGAGCATTGATTTGACTTCATCGAAAGATGCTTGAGATTCTGCTGACCACGACCAATGTATGTCTTGTGATAGTTGTTCATTCAGAAGACTTTCACTCTGTTCATTTCACTGTTATGACTAATTAATCCCAATAAGAATCTTAATGAAACAGCACTAGTTGGTGCAGACAAAGGCTTTTCTGAAAAATAGAAGCAAATTTTCCCTTTAGCTTTTCTAGTAACTTTTAACCTACTCGTTTTGCAAGTATCGGGGTTTCCAATGATGAATTTGACACATTAGAGACACCGGTAATGTGTATATCCATCTTTATAAGTTTTTCTAACATATCCAGACCAAGATCAAGGTTTGGTCGTTCTGTTTGGCAACAAACTCCTCTACGGTTAATTCTATTAAAGGAAAATTCACACTGTAATTCCTTGACAAGTAAAAGAAATCTCGATGCATTTCTGGCAGTCTCCGTCGATGGCTCCATTGGCAACGTCCCAAGCAATCTATACTTTTCTCTAGACAGAGTTATATCGGATACCGTGCCAAGACGCGTTGAGATGTCATTAATCTGGTTAGCAGCATACTCCCTTGGAATGTCGTAGTCTGTTATAAAAGGTGCTCCTGGAGAACGTGACTCCACCATGTGTCGAGTACGCCTGTTTCTTCTTGGGCTGGGACGTACGATTCGGTGGACGATAGTCATTTTTCGCCAGCGTTAATTAAGTGGGTAGAATAGTACATAATTTCAATCATCACATAACCGACAAGCAGTCATTGGTTTGTTACTAGTTGTTTGGCTGCTGAACCTTTAACCATGTAATAGCAGTGACACTACTGAAGGTTAAATTTGT